GTATGCAATTTTTTTTTGGAGATGGAGTGCAGTGTACAAAAAACATTAAGACTTAAACAGCTTGAAACTGGTACTGCACTATAATGATGTTTCACTGACAAACAAAATACAACATACTTAAGTCTTGCAATGGTGCTCTGTTCATTTTATTTCACTTGTTTGGACAGAATGAAGTTAAAGACTGTCAACCTAACCCTGAAAAATGTGGTAATTAGCACATGTAAAGTCAATTGCTTTAGGTTATTCAGATAAAATTCATCATTGCTTGTGCAATAAACATTTAAACAATGAGCTTTATTCAATGCATGCAAAATTGTGAAGATGAAAGTTTAGAAAATGGATACAACCACCAAAGGAGAGAGTAACATTAACATTCCATTTTATGTATAACTGAAAATTAAAGCAAAATCTTACTATAATGTAACAATGGTGTGCCAGTCTATCTATCTGTGTATGTGACCAAAATAATAAATACAATGGTGCCATCTGTTGTGCTAAATTATAACAAGATCTCAATGCCAGAAGTGGTGATTAAGACTTATGTAATGTTGCGCCATCTATTGAATGGCACCACAAACGAAAATCCATAAAAATATTTTTGCAATCTGGGTATTCAAGATTCAGACAATTAGAAAAATAACTGTGGTATGTGCAACAACATTTCCGTATAACAGAACATAATTTTAAGTAAAAGTACTGTACTCGCAACAAGAACACAACTTTCACTGGGTCTGTACTAAGGGTTTTATTGCATCTTCACTGATGCAAGTTTCAAATCTAGTATTGAGAAACTGGAGTTCTTGAAAAAACTATTATTTTTTCAATAAAGGGTGGCACTTTTAATGTATAAAAATATTACAGTTTATATCAGTAAAATTGATGAAAATTTTGAGCTCTGTATATTAAATAATTTTGTTGCAATGTGTTGTGTATGACTAAAGAGCACAATCCAAACACTTTTCTCATGCAGTAATTCCCAGAAAAAAATATTTTTTTAGAAAATGTTCACTTTTTAAAATTTTTTTAGAATGAGGTATGAATACTGTGATTTCTAATTACTAGCACAAACAGCTGCCTGTAGGGTGTCGTTTCTGCTAGTGTGTAGGTAAAACTTGGAAAATTAACAACAAAAAATTATACAAGTTTGCCACTCATAATTATGTAATCAGGTAACTGTTTAAAAGAATAGAAAATATATTGAAATTTGGAAACTGATGTAAAAAATGTCGTTATTAATTAAGCTACTTGAAAGTAAGTCTAATGAAGATAAAAGTTACTAACTGTAGATTTTATATTATTCAGTTTCTCTTTGAAATGTAGATTATGAAAATGTTTTGACTTTTTTTTAAAGTAAGTGAGATTTCATTCCCATTTGAAGTAGGTAAGGAAGAAGAAAATATTTTTGTGATATCACTTCAAATAAACTGCATAAAAAAATCAGTAAATTGAAGAAAATATATTTATATCATTGTGGTTTGAAGAAAAGAGTCGGAAGTCATCTCAAATTTTATTGCATTTAGTTTTGAATTTAATGATTTAAGTGCTGTTATATTTAATAAAGGATCTAAATATTGAGGAATTTTGATATCTTTGATAAAGTAACCTTTCTTAAAATATAATTATACATCGGATAGGTGTAAGATGTTGATGACAAGAGTAGGAACATAGTTGATGAAGACGTAACAGCTTTTACAGAATATTTTCTATATGGTTTTGTAGGGATATCTTCGGGAAGCTAAGTGCCACATAGCTCTTGGTGATATAAGTGCTGCAAATCGGTCATTACTCAGGGTCCAAAATCTTGAACCTCACAATCCCTCCCTTTCTACAGAGGTAATATAATTTATTTTATATTCATGATGTGTGTCACTTGTATACGGTGATTTTAAGTTAATAGTTTTAGAATATTATGCCATCATGTACAAGGTACATGCAAGCTTGTTGAGAATGATGCAAGTCTAAATCTTAATGTCATTAACTCATGAACTTTGACATTCACTGCTATGCTCCATTAATTTGTTTTTTCCACTAAGTTTTTTGATTCCCTAGGAAATTGTTGACATGGGTCATATTATATTTGGATCATTATCATTAACATAAGCAGTGTGTATAGGTTAAGAGTCAGATGAAAAGTCAAATATGGATGTATCAGTTTGCAAACGATACATCCATATTTGTACTAGTTTGCAAACTAGTACTAATATGGATGTATCATTTGCAAACTAATACAAATATGGATGTATCATTTGCACACTTGATCCTTATTTCAGCCAGTCTTATTGTATCCAGTTGTTTAAATCAAAATATATAGTGATGTATATATTATCTGGTAAGCTATGTAAAGGTTATATTTTATTAGCAAATCTGATTGGTCACTTTACGTTTTTTTTCACTTTTTATAGAAGAAAAACCTTGAAGTGCTTCAACATTTTAGTCAAGAAGGAGATAAAGCATATGAAAAAAAAGAATACAGACAAGTAAGTTTGAAATTATTGTCCGAACCGAGTAGCTCATTGTGTAATATGTAGAATACTTATACATATGACATACAAAATTTGACAACCAAGTCTTTATATGTTATATCAAGAAACCATTATATATTTGAATTGTACCATGAATGATTTATTTAAACTAAAGAAATAAAGCTTGATTAATATTTAACTTTTTTTCAGAGTAAAAAGTTTTCAAAATAAGAGTATATTTAATGCTTGTTAAAATTTAATCTTCATGTTTTTACTGTTTTTCAGGTTGTCTACTGTATGGACAGAGCTCTTCAGCAAGCTACTTCTTCAAATAAGCTGAAACTTATTAAAGCAGAGTGTTTAGCTTTTTTAGGAAGATATGAAGAAGCACAAAATATAGCAAAGTAAGTTCTTGCACTTTTGAGAGAAGTGATTTGATGGTATTCTGATTTGACAAACACTGATGATCTCTGCTTATCAAACACTAGTAAGAGTAGAGTTGTACTAATGAACTAGTAGTTGTAATAAGAGTTAATTATATGGAACTACTATTTACATGTTCAGTTGTATTTGTTTGATGGCTGTAAGAAGTATGCATTACCATTTGAAACTAGTTTTTATTGAAATGAGCTCTGAGAAATGATGGATGATGAGATCATCTATAAACTATGTATTACAACACTAACTTGGACTAGTGTTGTCTGGTTATAAAACATTAGTTAGCATATACTGTAACTTGGACTAGTGTTTTCTGGTTATAAAACATTAGTTAGTATATACTGTAACTTGGACTAGTGTTTTCTGGTTATAAAACATTAGTTAGTATATACTGTAACTTGGACTAGTGTTGTCTGGTTATAAAACATTAGTTAGTATATACTGTGACTTGAACTGGTGGAGTCAGGTTATAAAACATTAGTTAGTATATACTGTAACTTGGACTAGTGTTGTCTGGTTATAAAACATTAGTTAGTATATACTGTAACTTGGACTGGTGGAGTCTGGTTATAAAACATTAGTTAGTATATACTGTAACTTGGACTAGTGTTGTCTGGTTATAAAACATTAGTTAGTATATACTGTAACTTGGACTGGTGAAGTCTGGTTATAAAACATTAGTTAGTATATACTGTAACTTGGACTGGTGGAGTGTGGTTATAAAATATTAGTTAGTATATAGTATGTACAGTAACATGGTTATACATTAGAGTTAGTATCTAATGTAAATCCTGCATGCTAAATCTCGTTTTAACACCAATTTGTTATAAAATTAGGTTCTGATGTTTTATTTGAATCATTAATTAGACTAGTGGTATATAGGTAAAAAAACATTGTTTTGTAGTCTGGATTATTCTGTGTGGCTTTAGAGAAGGCATATTGTTAAAAGTTCTGTTTGATGATGCATAAGTATATAGTAGTATTAGATTTAAGGCATGTGTAGGCATTGCCTTTCTGTACAACCACTAGCTATAAAGCTCTGGAAGACAGTGCTTGTTTGTTTAACCACTTAGTTGTAGTACCCAGCTGTAAAGGTTTTTCAATGACTGTTTGTCTATTTAACCACTAGGTAGTTGTATCCACCTGTAAAGTTTTGGCAAATAGTACCTGTCTGTTTAAACACTATTTAGTAGTATCCAGCTGTAAAGTTTTGACAAGCAGTACCTGTCTATTTGACCACTAAGTAGTAGTATCCAGCTGTAAAGTTTTGGCAAGCAGTGCCTGTCAGTTTAACCACTCGGTAGTAGTATCCAGCTGTAAAGAACTGATATTCAGTGCCAGTCTGTTTAACCACTAGGTAATAGTATCTGGCTGTAAAAGTTTGGCAAGCAATGCCTGTTTGTTTAAACACTAGGTAGTAGTATCCAGCTGTAAAAATCTGGTAATCAGTGCCAGTCTGTTTAACCACAAGGTAGTAGTATCCAGCTGTAGAGATTTGACAAACAGTGCCAGCTTGTTTAAATGCTAGGTAGTATTATCCAGCTGTAAAGATCTGGCAATCAGTGCCTGTCTGTTTAACCACTAGGTAGTAGTATCTAACTGCAAAGTTTTGGCAAGTAGTGTGTGTGCCTGTTTGACCACTAGGTAGTAGTATGCAGCTCTAAAGACCTAGCAATCAGTGTATGTCTGTTTCAACCACAGTTCCTGTCTTTAAAACATTAAGGTAGAAGCAGTATGAACCTCTAAAACTTAGGCCAGTAATCTTTGTTTATTTAACCACTGTGTTATGTGTGTCAACTTAAATTACTTGTACAAAAACAAGAATGCAGTGAATAAAAATGTGAGGGAATTATCTAAGATAATAAATCAAAATCTTTGTGAAAAAACTTTAATTTATCACTTGAATATGGCCTAAGTATTAGTCTGGAAGCTTTTGTTTAGAATTTTGTAAGCCTTGACAACCTCCATATTTGTCAGTGATGCCTTTCTTTTTCTAATTTCAGTGATATACTTCATATAGACTCCTTGAATGTAGATGCTCTTTATGTTAGGGGAATGTGTTTGTACTATCAAGATTTTATTGAAAAATCATACAGTCATTTACAACAAGTCCTTAAGCTTGCACCAGATTACTCCAAGGCTCTGGAACTTTACAGGGTGAGTTTTCTAAAGTTTATTAAAACAATTTAAGCGATGATTACATTTTACTATTACTAAAAGGAATGTAGAAAGGTTATTTCTATCATTAAAAATGTGAAAGATAGGCACGTAAAATTAAGTGACTCATTTTTTGGTGAGAATTGACTGGTGGGGTTTAAAACCTGCTTTTGGAAATGATGTATGTATTTACTGATATAGTGTAGTGTTATTTGTGCCAGATAATTATATCATATAGCATAAAGTTGAATGGCCAGTTACATGAGGCACACAAGGTCTAATCTACTGCCATGGCAATTAATCTGTCCACTATTCTGTCAGTGCTTGGAAATACTATTTTCTGGAGAAGTTATAGGCTCAAACATTGGTTTTGACAAAACAAGAAATCATAATTCTTTTAATTTTTCATAATTAGCTTCTACATTATTGATTTACATTTTAGTGTTATTGTATGTGAGATGAATGTGCATTTACAACTTGTGTAATATTTTGTGTTTATTAAAATAAACAAGCTGAGTAGCAAAATTTGTTAATTTGTTTTAGTGTTATTGTATGTGAGATGAATGTGCATTTACAAATTGTGTAATATTTTATGTTTATTATAATAAAGAAGTAAAATTTGTTAATTTGTTTTATTTTCCAATGTTTTCTGTCAGAGAGTTAAACTGCTAATAACAAAAAAAGATGAGGGAAATGAAGCCTTCAAGAATGGTCATTTACAAGAGGCATACGAGTTGTATTCCTGTGCTTTGGAGATTGATCCCTCGAACGTTTACACTAATGCAAAACTGTACTTCAACCGTGCCACTGTTTGTTCTAAGGTGAGGTGTGTCTAGAATATAATGTAAAATTATAAAATACAACAGTTACAAGAAATATATTTTCAGTGGATGCAGAAAGAAAATTGATGATTGTAAATGGGGTAATTCATTTTATGTTTTATTACTTAATTATGAGCGAGGCCATTGAACCACAATTCCTTTTAAAAGTAATAAAACAATATCATAGCATAGAAATAATGTGTAAAATCATGTTAATCTATATATCAGAAAAACAATGTGTGCAAGAAATGATGATAAGAATTTATACAGTTTTGTATGGGTTCTTAAAAACCTTGAAAATGATAAGTGTTTAGAAAGATACCTGAATATTTTATTTATAGATATTTAATGATGTTTTTATGACTTAATTTTATGCTTATTGGAAAAATTCAAAAGTTGCACAGGTTCATATAATTCAGGAATTTTTTTTCATGAAGCATCATTAATACATACAGTATTGTAGCATTGTGTTTATGATTTGGTCTGAAACATCAGCATTAGGATTATGTAGTACATTTCATAAAATCTGAAAACATAATGCACAGTAGTATTGGATTCTTCAGGCAAAAAATAGGCATAAATTATCAGGTACTTGTATGATTGGCTGCAGAAAAAATATTATTTCATTACTCACATTAGTCAGGCAACTTAGTGTGCATTATCAGCTTGTGGAATTAGTGAGAGTCGATCTTCATGTTGTCTGTAGCTGGATCAGAAGTGATGTTCTTGGGCTGAACTGTATATTGTCTGTAGTTGGATCAGCAGTGATGCTTATGGGCTGAACTGTATATTGTCTGTAGCTGGATCAGAAGTGATGTTTATGGGTTAAGAACATCACTTCTGATCCAGCTACAGACAATATACAGTTCAGCCCAAGAACATCACTTCTGATCCAACTACAGACAATATACAGTACAGCCGACAAGCATCACTACTGATCCAACTACAGACAATATACAGTACGGGCTGAACTGTATATTGTCTGTAGCTGGATCAGCAGTGATGCTTATGGGCTGAACTGTATATTGTCTGTAGCTGGATCAGCACTGATGTTCTTGGACTGAACTGTATATTGTCTGTAGCTGGATCAGAAGTGATGTTCTTGGGCTGAACTGTATATTGTCTGTAGCTGGATCAGAAGTGATGTTCTTGGGCTGAACTGTATATTGTCTGTAGCTGGATCAGAAGTGATGTTCTTGGGCTGAACTATATATTGTCTGTAGCTGGATCAGCAGTGATGCTTTTGTGCTGAACTGTATATTGTCTGTAGTTGGATCAGAAGTGATGCTTGTGGGCTGTACTATATATTGTATGTAGCTGGATCAACAGTGATGCTTATGGGCTGAACTGTATATTGTCTGTAGCTGGATCAGCAGTGATGTTCTTGGGCTGAACTGTAATGTTTCAGTAACAGGTTATCAGGTTTGCACATTTCTGTTACTTAGGAACCACTGAAGTAATAGTAGACAATAATGAAAAACTAACAATAAGTGAAGTAAAGAAGGTAATTATCCAAACAAGGCTATTGATTAATTAGCATAGAATTAAGACTGAGAAAAATTGGTATAAATAGCATAGGTATAAATATAAATAACCTGTTTTATGTTATATCTTGAATTAATAAAAATATTTAGAATTCAAGCCAATTTTGATGCTAAGAAAAAAATACCAAGTAATCGAGATAGAAGCAATGAATATTAAATATATTTAGTTATATACAGGTGTCAACAGCCACTTAAAAAAGTGTTTTTCAGCTTTTAAAGAGGAATGACTTTTGCAAATTATGGAAGTGAAAACTGTCTATGGACAAATATATAGTGCTTGGAGGAGTTTGTAGTCCCTACAAAAAAACATTAGAACTGTCTCTCTTTCTTGTCATAAGTTAGAGGTGGCTGCTTGAAACCCTGACCTGAACGATTAGCCTGTGTGTTACATTAGATATTATTTGTTTTGAAAATACCAGCTTTATTTCTTGAGGTTTTTTGCTGTGGTACAAAAACTTAAAAGTCAAACTGAGTTATCCAAAATTTTAATGTTAATTGTTCATTACACCTAAACTTATAATAGCTATTTTGCTGCTGTTAATAGATTTCAAAGCTAAATCAGGCAATTGAAGACTGTACACAAGCCATTAAGTTGGATGAAAATTACATAAAAGCATATTTACGTCGAGCAAAATGGTAAGATAATTTTTTTTGTCTTATATACCTAAACACCATATTCTTACTTAAATATATTTGGGGTTATTTGGAGTCACAAACCTCAGTTTACCTGTGCTTGTTTGTTTACCTCAGTAAGAAATAAAGTAAAAGACCACAAATTAGTTTTTTTTTAAGTTTAAATAATAATTGGGCTTTCTATAAGATTGAACATTAACTTTTTATAACCAGTGCTTGGATTGTGTTTTCATCAGGGTGCATCACTATACCAGAAAATAAGATTTAGTTGATCAGAATTATATGCACTAAATGAAAATTCTCCAAGTAAGTTTTGAAAAACAACAACAAAAAGATCCACAGAAATTCTGAAATGCTGTTGAGAAACATTCCTGAGTGGGGATTTATTACAATATTGTTTAGAAACATGTAGGAGTGGAGATTTATTACAATATTATTTTAGAAACATTCCTAAGTGGGGATTTATTACAATATTGTTTAGAAACATGTAGGAGTGGGGATTTAATACAATACTGTTTTAGAAACATGTAGGAATGAGGATTTATTACAGCATTGTTTAAAAACATAAATGGGACATCAATGCTAGTCAACTATAGGTTTTCTCACAGAAGAGGAAGACTTATGTAAATTTGAACTTACACAAGTAAAATTATATTATACTGCTCCCAGCGTCACGCGACTTCTGCTGTCGTAACACTGCCCCTTCCTTAGTATTGTTCCTCCCGAGCTATTCTCCTCGGAGGGATTGTTACTGGATGTTGATTGCCTGTGTTTATTCTATGCTCCACAAGGTCTGTGCAGCCAAGGTCATGATCTCCTTTTCAAAAGACGTCTACACAATTCGCCAAAAGTTCCCTAATCTGAACAGCCTGTGATGATGACAAATGGACTATGCTCTTCTTATAGAGGTCAGTTAAATGTTCTGGGAGAGGATGTTCTTTCTTTATGGTTGTAATTCTTGCCTTAACATTGACTGGCTCTACCTCCTGGCACACACCCAACAATGCCCGTTTCTTAAGTGTTTGCTCACATTTAGGGAAATTAGCCACTGTTATTGGTACTACTTGATGACCTGCCACAAGTGACCTTCCAATCTTCACGTCTGCTGGCATGGATGGGTCTTCCACTGCTTCCACGAGCATCGAGCTTCCTTGGAGATGTTCTTTTATTCTACCCCAAATTATCTTCTATGACATGGGGGGTATTGTAGTTGACGTAAATGCTGTGACATGCAAATCAACAGATGCAGCAACACTTACCGGAATTTGGCCTTTGTTGTTCCTAAACGTCATTTTATCGAAGTTAACTACACACTTCCTCGGTAGTAAGTAGTCCAACCCTAATATGCATTGGTCTTCAATGTTAGCCAAGTATATTTTGTATCTGTCCTTTATACCCATGAGCTCAGTAGTTACAAATACTGGTCCCCACAACCTTGTATAATGTCCTGTCACACTACAGAGCTTCTGTATGGCTTCTGGTACTCCTTTGTGATCTAGCACCTTGATACTCACAAGGGTTTGCTGAGATGTAGCATCTATGACAAAGTTGCACTTTTGCCCATCCAGCTTTCCTGTCACGTAGACACTGTGCTTGTCATTTTACATTTAGCTGTTGGGACTTTCACAATGGGGGTTGATGGGCGTCCCTCAACACCAATCACCACTGCTCTCCCCGAGGCTGACTTATTGGTAGTATTCTTCTTACACTGGCTCCTCATGTGTCCTTGCTCTCTACAGTTCCAACAACCTTTCTGGGTAGCAGCCTTTCCTGCCATGGTATCTTCCCTGTGTTGAAGTTGGTAGCATTGAGCTCTCTTGTGCCCCGGTTTGTTACAGTGCCAGCAAAGTCCTTCAAACTTCTCTGAATGGTACCCTTTTCTGGCCTTGAATCCTGATGACTGCACCAACCTTGGTACCTCTGTGCTGAAGTTAATGTAGGATTCAAATTAAAGAGCTCTGGCCATTGCATCTGGCATAGTAGAGAGGTGTGCTTGCTTTACTTGAATATTCAGTTGTGGACTGCCAAAGCCTCTACAAACTGATCCCTCAGCAATAGCTTGAGGACATCGGGTGGTGCAGTTGGGTAGGCCTTGTGTGCCATACCTTCCAAAATCCTGTGCCAGCTCTTGCAGTCTTTGCAGTCTCTCGTCCTAAACCTAGCCCCATAGACTTATGACCGATTTTGAGTTCCATACCCGAGTTCTAGAGCCGTTACCAGTGCTCTATAGTTGTGCCTGTCATCTGCTGACAACTGTCTAAGTATTTCCAGTGGTTGACCCTTCAGGCTCGTTGCCAGATACACTGCTTTCTGCTCCTCTGTCCATCCATTCATCTCTATCTATAGCCAAAATTGTGCTTTATATGCTTCTCACGGTGCTTTCCCATCGAATTCCTGTGGCTTTCTATAAAACACCCCCTATTGCTGACACTCATTTCTGGAATGTGACTTCTTGCAGGACTGAAAATGTCTGCATTAAGGTTTAGCTGCAGGGTCTGGAAGGGGCTTTTTGTTGTCTGGGGCTGATTTGGTCCATGGCTAATATATCCTCCCTGTGTAAAAGACAGTAAATCGTCCTTTAATGTATTTAATTCACTTTGAAATTTACTAATGTTTTCCATTTGTACTTCTTGCCACTGTTGTTGATATTCCTGTAGTTGATGCTGACTTTCCCGCAACTGTTAGAGACTTTCTTCCTGTTTCCTTTCTGGTTCCAGTTGCCACTGCTGTAGTCTCTCTTCTTGTTTATTTTCTTTCTCCTCCAACCACTGCTGTAGTCTTTCTTCTTGTTTATTTTCTTTCTCCTCCAACCACTGCTGTAGCTTCTCTTCTTGTTTCTTTTCTTTCTCCTTCAACCACTGCTGTAGTCTCTCTTCTTGTTTGTTTTCTCGTTCTTTTTGTTTATTTTCTTTTTCCTCCAACAACTGCTGTAGTTTCTTTTCTTGTTTCTTTTGCTGTTCTTCTATTACTGCCAACAAATCTGCTAAGTCGTAGTTTGAGTTGCCACTTCTCTTTTTTATCTTTTTTTTTCTTTTCGGTCCCACTATCTGATGAATTTGTTACGTATCTGCTTGTTTGTTAATTTTCACTGTAAATTCTTTCCGAGGAACTTCAGCGATACAAGTCCTTTCTTAATTAAAACTAGTTTATTCTTTCTTGGGAATTGATAACTGCTAAAGAAAAACTTAAAATTACTGCTGTTTTTATTTTTTTAGTTCATAATTAATATTGCATGTGTGAAGAACAATATGTATCATTCCAAACTTATATACTGACCATAACCAAGGAAATAAAAATTCTTAGTTTGTATATTTAACACAATGCAAACATTTCATTAATTTCCTTACAATTATTGCTGTTAATAATGTTTATGCCATAGTCTTATGCAACAACCTGACAGTTCACAGAATTAGTATGCATGTGATCTATGTTTACATCTTGTGCAACATAATGAAGCTGTAGAACAATTTGATATTTTGGGCTGAATTTTCAGAATAGTTAAACATTGGAAGTCGGTATGAAACAATCATAAACAGTATAGAATGTTGTGTTTTATGATTCTGGCAGGTCCTTTTACATTTTCTAGTGAAATTAGTTCATAGTCCAGTCCATGTAAACTATAACAAATTAGATTATTTCCTTCTTTCATGTCTTTACAAACTTAAACTCTTGTACACTGTTGTAACTTGTTGTAAGCCTACATTACAAATGATTGTTCAAGAAGAGAAAAACCATGATAGGACTTCAAAAAGAGAAACTTTCAATGAAAATTTATAAATCTGTAAGTTCATTACTGGTTGTTTCCGAATTTAGTTCACCTTATGTTTTTTATTCTGGATACGTGAAAACTCCTGTTTAAGCTTTAAAAAGATATATTTGTTTTCATTAAACTTCTAACGTTTCCGAAGTGCTATTCTTCTGATAAATATGCACAATCGGATATTTCACATTTAATTTTGAAATTAAAATTCGCACAGCTTTTGCATTTTTTTTGTCAAAATCATTAAGTACTATCTCTGGAATTTTTAAATTTGTTCTTCAAAATCCTTCTTCATGTTATTTCGTTGGAAAAATAATACTAGAAAGATGCTATTATTGTACTCTTAAAAAAATAACTTTTTTTTCCAAAAACTCACATAGCTTTAGTTTTAATATACTGTTACACCTCCGTTCGTTCCTTAATTTTCCGTAAATTCGTTCCGACGAAACTTTAGCGACACAAGTCCTTTCTTAAATAAAACTGGTTTATTCTTTCTGAATATAACTTTGCGATACACTTAATTTCAACAGTCGCGCTATAACAAACGCTATAATTCTCAACGAACGTCTCACGTGCTCGATTCAACAATACTCAGTTCAATTACACATTATCTTACGCCTCAGTTCTTACTGGTTTATATATACAAGACTACACTATATCTAGAAGGATCCCGAGATTTAAGGAAAAGACGTGAATGTTCGAGAACGACGTGGCGTGATTCTAGTCACGTGACCCTCGCTGACGGAACAATACCATGAAATTTCTGTCCAACTTCGATTTGATTTACTTTTGAAGAAAAGATAAAACGTACAATGTCTTCAAAAAATAGGAATTTTCATTACAAATTCCGAAATAGAGAAGATCTTTACAGCCTGTTACCAAATTTAGTCCTCCATTACGTTTGTTTTTATTCTCGATACTAGAAAATTCTTCTTTAAACATTGCAAATGATTTTTTGATTAAATTCCAAAGGTTTCAAGCTTGTTGTTTTTCCAAAAATTACATACAATCGGAGATTTAACTTTTAATTTTGCATTAAAATGATTAATTTTCTTCGTTTTTCAAAAGTTATTTTGCACCCAAATTATCAAGATGCTTTTCAAAAATTTTCTTAAAAGCTTTTTACTTATGCTATTCTGCTAGGAAGATACCCTCCATGTAATCTCACAAAAATATCTTATTTCATAAATACTTACAAGGCTTTAGTTTTAATATGTCTTGAAACTATATCCCATTTAGATTTACTTTTGCACAAAATATATACCGTGGAATCGCTCCAAAAATAGGAATTTTCAATCAAAATTTCCAAATGGAGAAGATCATTACAGTCTGTTACCAAATTTAATTCCCATTTCAGTTTGTTTTTATTCTGAGTAGGAGAAAACTCCCATTTAAGGATTTAAAATTATATTATTGTTTTTAAAGTTAAACATCTAATGTTCCGAATTGCTGTTTGTCATTAAAGTGTATACAATCTGACATTTCGCATTAAATTTTCAATTAAAGTTGGCACTTGTGTTCGTTTTTCAAAAAATTCTTTTCATCCAATTAATCAAGGTATTTTGCAAAAATGTGCTTAAAAATTATTTTTTTTATGTTATTGTTACGTCTCCGTTCGTTCGTTAATTTTCCGTAAATTCGTACCGACGAAACTTTAGCGACACAAGTCCTTTCTTAAATAAAACTGGTTTATTCTTTCCGAATACAACTTTACGATACATTTAATTTCAACAGTCGCTCTATAACAAACGCTATAACTCACGTCTCACGTGGCCAACAATATTCTGTCCACATACATTCAATTACTCATTACTTCCCCGTCGCTTCGTGGCCGGTCTTATATATACAAGATTACACTATTTTTAGAAGGATCACGAGATTTAAGGAAAGGACGTGAATGTTCGAGAACGACGTGGCGTGATACTAGTCACGTGACCTCGATGTCGTAACATTATTCTGCTAGGAAGAAACTCTTGAAAAAATAACATATTTTATATAACTTACAAGGTTTTGTCATTAATGTGTCTTGGAAATTACGTTCAACTTATATTTTACTTTATTTTTGAAGAAGAGTTAAACCATGGAAGGGTTTCGAAAGAGAAATTTTCAATCAAAATTCATAAATCTAGAAGTTCCTTAAGGCTTGATTCTAAATTTAGTCCACCTTAATTTTTTTTAATATTCTGGATAAGGGAATGTTTTTTTTTAATCTCCCATAGTTCAGGCTTGCTGTTTTCTTAAGAAATATATACACTCGGAAAATTCACATCTAATTTTCAATTAAAATACACACTTTATTGCGTATTAAAAGAAACAAACATGAAAAGTATCAAGGATTAACCGTAGGTATTTTTTTCAGAGCCCCACAGTAGCACAGCGGTATGTCTGCGGACTTACAACGCTAAAAATGGGGTTTCGATACCCGTGGTCAACAGATCACAGATAGCCCATTGTGTAGCTTTGTGCTTAACTACAAACAAACACATTTTGTTGAAATTTTTTTTTTATGTTATTGTGCTAGAAAGGTGCTTCGATGTACGATTTTGAAAAAAAAAAATTCTTATAAAAAGTCACAAAGCTTTAGCTTTAACATGTCTTGGAAATTATGTCTGATTTCGGTTTTGCTTTATTTCTGAAAAAAATATAAACCATTAAAAGGCTTTGAAAAATTAGAATATTCAATCTAAGTTCACAAATTGAGAAATTGTTACCGAATTTAGACCACCTTTTAGGTCGTTTTATTTTGTATAGAAGAAAACTCCTGTTAAACTCAGAGCTGGCCCTAGGAAAAATTGTAGCCTCTGCGAACTTGCATTTTAGCGTCACTTCCCCTTTAAAATTGACAAGAACTGCTAATTGCAGCTCCGATTTTTGGCACCCCCTGGGATGGGCGCCCTGTTTGAGGGCGCATGTGGGCCTACTCCAAGAGCTGACCCTGTTTAGCTTTATAAAAAATATATTTATAAAATTAAATTTCAAACGTTTCAGGCTTGCTGTTTTTCTACAAAAGAATAAATAAATAAACAATTTTCCCATTTAATTTTGAATTAAACTCAGTACTTTTCTTCGCTTTTAAAAAAAATACTTTTTCATCTAAACTATCAGTTCTTAATCGTCGGAATTTTTGAAAAAGTATCTTCAAAACTTTTTCATGTTAGCACTGTCTGTTGTATATTCATCTAACTACTTCGCATGGTGTTTTTTTTTAACAATAAAACATAAGGGAAGCAACTTTTCATGTCCTAAGATAACCTTTCGTTAATAATAAATTTACATAACTTTTATTCAGGGGACGGGTGGTCCAGATGGTTGATATTATGCGAGGAAGATGCATATGATGTAAGCTTTTGAAAAAACAACTTTTTTCATAAAAGCTCACAAGGCTTCAGCTTTAACGTGTTTTGGAAATTCTATCCAACTTCGATATTATTTCATATTTGATGATAAGATAAACTATGGAAGGATTTAAAAAATGGGAATTTTCAGTCAAAATTCTCTAATCGTGAAGCTCTTACGGCTTGTTACCAAACCTATCCGCCTTTAACAGTTTAACTTTAAGTATGTTTTTATTTTGGATACGAGAAAGCTCTCTTTAATCTTTGTAAAAAGTTTTTCATTAACTTCCAAATGTTTCAAGCTTGCTGTTTTTCTAAAATGTATATATAATCGTAGATTTCATATTTAATTTTGCAATAAAGTAAGCATTTTCTTCATTTATTCATCAACAACGTGTTGATTACTTTTTATAAAATGACTAGATCCAGTAACAAGTTCTAATAATGATTATATAAAAAACGTTATTCACTGTGTTTTAGGTTTGTTTGTTTTAAACTTTGAAAATTTGTTTCCCCATTTGGTTTTTCATTGTTTCTGTGACGTCAAACATGTATTTTTTTTTTTTTTAATACGAATATCTGTTAAGTGTAAGTTAGCCTCCTGATGTAACCATGGAAGTATTAAAGATTAAGTCTGAAAGATTTTCTGGTGAGGAGGATGCTTTGTTGGATATCAAAATGGAGAAAAGTGAAGAAGAAACTTTTACCTTATCTAATAGTAAGTTCTCATGTTTAGAATTTATATGTCTTGTGTTCGTGCCAGTATTTATTTCTATTTAACTTTAAAAATAGTACGTTTTTTATTTTTATTATTTTTAGGCTTAGAGACAAACATGCTAGAATTAGAAATTGAATTTACCATAATTTAATATAGACTAATCTTTGTTTTTTTTTGTCTCGTGGATAAGTTAAAAGTAAAATATCTATCCTTGTTGTGTGTTGGTTTGCCATTACACATTAGAGTGATTAGATCAAAAGAAAAACAGTTATGCATTTGAATTGAAGTCTTACTTCTGACAAGATAAATGCAGGCTAGACTATACTCTTCAATTCAAAGTTCAACTTTAAAGACAATGTTTATTGCATATATAAATTATAACTAGAAATGGATCAAACAAGTTCATTTCATTTTACACTACAGGTTAATAGATCTAAGCTAGAGGAAGTTAAAGCACTTTTAATGATTAATTAGTCAGCAAATTTCTGGCTAATTTAATTAAGGAAACCTAATTAATTTCTCTAATCAGACCAGAGAAAATAGAAAACAAAATGAAAAATTACTTGAAATATATATAAAAATCTCTTCTTTTAGAGATAATGCCATCAAATAAATAGTTTCAGAATGTGAAACATTTGAATTTGATCAGGTGATGAGGTCAATGACATCAGGTCAGAAGGCCATTGACTTATGACAAATGGTTAATGACCATTGGTAAAAGATCAGAACATGAAGTAATAATTTTCAGTAACTATAGAAACCTTTAGAATTGAACATATATACATGCTGTGAATTTAAGGCCATTGAGAACTATAAAGAGGCCATTTCAAGGGTCATCTATGAAAAGTCAAAAATCAATGACCTCTAGGAAGAAATAAATAAAATTAACTAACAAGATATAAATGATATAAAAATCTCTGTAAATACTTTTAATTTGATAAAGAGTAAAGTTCTTAGATAGTATGTTTCATCATGGGGGATTATAAGATTTGACATATCAGAGCAGTTCTTAGATAGTATGTCTCATCATGGAAGATTATAAGATTTGACATAGAGCAGTTCTTAGATAGTATGTCTCATCATGGAAGATTATAAGATTTGACATAGAGCAGTTCTTATATAGTATGTCTCATCATGGAGGAATTATAAGACTTGACATATCAGAGCAGTTCATAGATAGTATGTC